TGGAGAACCCTGTGGGCCAACAGACCCCTTTGTTTGTTCACCTGTTTGTTCACTGTAACTGAAGACATCGTTTCCTACGCATCTAAGTGTAAGTTAAATAAATTCCATCTTGTTTAAGGAACCATTACGCTTCCTGTGCCGCTCAGACTCCATCGCCAAAACTCCCACCTGTCCGTATCCAATTTGCCACCACCCGGCCGCACCACTGCGACCAACACCGTGAGCTTGGCTTGCCACCTCCGTGTTGCCCGACAGATAGCTTTTTCCTGAGTGGAGATTTTATGTGACTAATCATTCAAACACAAGATGCATCTTTAGTTGTAATATTCACAACTGTATTACAGATTTTTCTATGACATTTAGAAACAACATGTCTAAATACCTGAAAAATACTAATGGATGTATTTGAATATAGAAAGACTCTAGAAATCATGCAATCTCAGAACAGTAGCAAAGCCATAATAAGATGACTAAGAATTATTTAGTGAAAAATGTGAATTATTTCAAATAAGATACTTCTGTTCCTAAACAAATCAGAAGCAGAATAAAAGAAGGTGATTACATGAATTATTTGTAGCACATGATTTGTTCTGCAAACAAACAAACAATCTACAGTTTTGTAGGCCATATGCACTTGGGCCATCTGAAACAGAATAGAAGAAAGAAGATACTCACTTGCATTTAGAGTTTTCACATAACCATGTAGGCATTTTCACCTTTAGCATTAACTTTGAATGAATTCCAAAACATTATTGCGGTATCATCTTAACTACATACTGTGATAAGAGTCACAAACCTGGCTACAGAGCACGCCCAGAGCACCAACTTTTTTTCCACTATTTGTGCCAAGGACTAGACTGAGGCTTGTTCTAGCATAATTTATCTCCACAAGCCTCAGCATCACTGCTTTCATACTGGCTCACAGCTGCAGCTGCAGCCAGTTCTAGGTAGCCTCCCCTTCAGGTTGTGAGAGAGATTTTAGGTCCCCCTTTCCATAGAAAGGGCTAGCCTGGAATATCACTTACTCAGAGATCACTTATTTCACAGGCAGCCAGTAACGAGACAGAGCAACAGAAGGATTTACTGTGTGGGAGAAAAGAATTATACAAGCAAAATTAACAGTAAGTTTGGAAACAGAATAAAAAGACAAGTATAGTTTCTTACCCTCTCAACTGGCTATACCCTAACCCTCCTGAGAGTCCTGCCAATGTTTTTAGAGATCAGCCTTTCTGCTGATCAGTCCTGGATTCTCGGGCCTTGGACCCTTCTCTATCTTAGAAAAAATCCAAAACACCTTGATTCTATCCTAGCTAGACTCAACCCTCTCCCTCTCCCCCCTCAAAAAAAACCCCATACCCCAAAAAACCTCCAAGTCCCCCTCCTCAGCTAGCATTATTTTAAGTGTTCACACATCACCAGAATCCTCCAGAAATCTGTGGCCTCCCAGAAGCACCTGGAATTCCTCTAGCTGGTTGGCAATTGCTCTCAGATACCTTTTCTATAGATGATTGATTTCCCCATTACAGGCAAACAATGCCTTGGATGCCCAGTCCAATAATGTCTGCTTCTGCCTGTGTTTAGGAGTGGCATTTTTCCTTAATTATGCACCCCTAATTTCCTTAGTTAAACCATGTCCCAAATCATAAATATACAGATGGGATGACATAATCTATATTGTGATAACAGCAACATAAATGGATACAGCATAACACTGACTTTCCAGTGAGACTATGCATGCCATATTAGTACATAAAAACAAAAGGAAACATTTAAGGCACCCCATTAACAAGTCATAAATAATTTTATTTAATTTGTTATAATTTAATCTAGTTTAATTTCATTCTTTAATTTCACTGTAAATAAACAGTGAAAAACTGACCATTGCAATATTCTCCTTTTACAGAGATTGTGGCCAGGGGATAGCACTTGGAGTCAATAAAAATATAAACCCTGGACATAATGTCCCACTTACAAACATGACAAACATAAAATAACTTGTTATACTAATCAAGTTATTGGGGCTAGGCACATGGGTTTTTTTTCAGAATAGGAGCACATGTTGGTTGGTTGCAAAGGATTTAGAGTTTTGTGTATTATTTCCCAAATGGAAAAAGTCTACTCAGGTTACAACTAAAAAGATGCTGGATGAAATCCTGTCCTCATTAAAAAAACAAGAGGCAACCCTGATGCGGCAAGAGGCAACCCTGACCGCATTATGAGGGACTTCG